GATGCTGAACACCCTGTAGACCCCTCCCTAAAAAAAAAAAAAAAGAAAAAGACAGTATCGGTATCTATTTGGTACTGTTACTTTGGGAGGTAGTTGCTAATACCCCATAAAGTTGAAAATATATGTACCCAAGAAACCCAGCACAATAAATTTGAAAAATTTGTTTTTTTTTTTTTTTGAGGTGGTTTTGCTATGGAATTGAGGCTGGTTTTGAACTCATAGGTAGCCCAGGCTGTCCTCGAACTCACAGTGACCCTGTTTCCTCAGCTGCCCAAGTGCTGGTATTACTGGCATGCACCACAATGTCCAGCTCTAAGTGGTATTGTGTGGTTATCTGCTGAAATTTTTTTTAATGAAAAGTTTGAACATGCGTGTTCTTTTTTTTTTTGTGGAACCGGGAATTGAACTCAGGCCCTTACACTTTCCACGCAAGCACTTATTTTACTGAGCTATCTCCCTGGCCCTGAACGTATTCGTATACACTAAAATTTGTAAAATATTCTTATTAGTACATATTAATGCTATGCAGTGATTACATTCACATTGGGAGTTTTACACATATAAATATTGATCTTTTGGTTCATGAGTGTGATGATTGGGTGTTCGTGCCTTATGCATGAGGTGTGCCGCCCTCAAAAATTGTTATGACGTGGGCACATTACCTGTCTGATGTAAAAACAACAAAACAAAAAAAAATACCAAAAAAAAAAAAAAAATACATATTAGCTATTTGGGGAAATCACTGTAAATCCTGTCTCATGATGTTAGTAGGATGCCTTCTTTGACCGTTAGGTGTTTTACAAAGCTTGCTACTTTTTTTTTTTATGTGAGTTTTACTGATACAGGGTGAATTTTCAGTGAATTCTATATGTTACAAATTGTGCTTATTCGTAACAAATTACTATTTTATAGTCTTTGTTTTTTACTTTATGATTTGAACTAAATGTATTTCCTATATTTAAAAGGTTATAATTTCTCCTTTCTTTCTTTGCATGCATGTTTCATTACTACAGTATGAAATTAATCTTTTGGAGCTGATCCAGAGAAGAAGAAAAGTAAGTAGATACTGTTCTAAAAGTTGGTTTTAAAGTACAGAATTAAGCAATGTGGCTGATAGTTTGAATTTAGATTTGGCGAATGGTGCTGGTGAGTTGTGATGTGCTTACGATATTATTTGTAATTGCTTCCTGTGTCAGTATGGCTAAATGACCTTGTGAGAATGCTATTTTGGGTAAATGTGATTAAATTGAAGACTTGGTTTTTGTATCTCCTTTTAGCGTGTTAAGTACTCATTTAAGAAGGATGAGATCGAACATTCTATCGTGCAGCGAGTACAAGGCGTCTTCCGACGTGCTTCAGCAAAGTGGAAAGTAAGTGATCCGAGCATCTTTAGGAGATGAAAAGACAGGGACAGTGTGACAATGCATTGCTCTCTATTGTTGGATGGCTTAAACTTACTGGAACGATGGTGTCATTGTTTGAAACATTTTTTTTTTTTTTAAAGTGTAACATTCAATTTATTATTTCTTTCTCAAGAGTTTTCTTCAGTCCATTAAGACTCAGCTCCCCTTACATGGGCTTTGGTGGAGGTCGTGGGGCAGCACCAGCAGGTCTAAATCGGGGTGGAGGAGTTCGGTCCTTATGGGCTTCATGAGATCGATTTCTGACCACTTTGCTGTGAATGGCACAACTCACACAATAATGCAGCTTCACATACAGCTTGGGAAGCACATAACCGTCGAAGACACTCGCTTCGGAAATGTCCCTGATGGCGGCGGCCTCCACTATGTTCCGAATGACAAACTTCTTAATAGCCTTATCCTTGGGTATGCACTGGGCGCAGTTCGTGCAGCGAATAGGCTGCACATGACCGCGGCCCTTTTTGGCACGACCGTTGTTCCTTCTTTTTTTCATCTTCTTGGAAAAGAGGACCCGAAAGAGCTTGAAACATTTTTGAGTAGTTCTTTTTTTTGTGTGTGTGTGTTTGGTGGTACTGGGGATTGAACTCAGGACCCTACGCTTGCCAGGCAAGCACTTATTCTACTGAGCTATCTCCCCGGCCCCTTGAAACACTTTTGAGCCATATAGTTCTTTAAGAAAATTGATCTCCTTACCTTGATGATAATCTGTGAAGGATGGAGTGGAAAACAGTAAATTCGATGCACAGTGAGGGATTAGGAGATCTCCCAGGACAAGTTTGGATATCTGTAAGTGAAGTACACTGAAGACTTGGGCTGCAGTAACAATGTTATTCAAATCTGGTTTGGGGCTGCAGGTTATCTGGGAAGTAGTTTGATTCCTGGGAATGACGAATTTTGTGTTTCTATACCTGACAGAATTTTTCAGAAGATCAATAAACAAATGTCTATCCAGACAAGAGATTTTCTTGTGAGCATGTTGGGAATCATTGGAGAGTCAGGTTGAGTTATTGCTGTTCAGGGATCCAAGACCTTGCTGAGGAGCACACTCATAGGCTGAAGAGTGGTAACACAGTGGATCTTCTGCACCTTGACTGTGTTTCTGACTGAGTTAATTGAAACAAAAGTGTTTTTGTTCAGCATGCAGTGCCTGTGTGGCAAGTGCCAGGTCCTGAGCTGGTTCTTGGTACCAAAAACAAAACAAAACAAAAAGTAAATTATGTGTGATGTCAAATTCAGGCAGCTTACTGTGTTTTTCTTCCTTCAGGATGATGTTCAGCTTTGGCTGTCCTATGTAGTTTTTTGTAAGAAATGGGTGAGTAATGGATGTCTTTATTTTTTCTCTTTTCTTTTTTAAAAAATGTATTTGGTATAGGGTCTCATTACACAGCTCAGACTCGTAGTGAACCTCCTATTTTCAGTCTCCCCAGTGCTGGGATTACACGCGTGCGCCGCCACACCTGGTCTTCTTTTCTTTTTCTTTTTTTCTTTTTTTTTTTTTGTGGAACCGGCGATTGAACTCAGACCCTTGAGCTTGCCAGGGAAGTGCATATTCTACTGAGCCATCTCCCTGGCCCCTCTTTTCTTTTTCGTAATTTGCTTTAAGATGTACATCTCATTCCTGAATTGTGTTTGTTCTAGAGGAGTAGAATTTTAACAAATAGGAAAAGAGTGTTAAAAAGCTGAGGCTGAACTTCAGTGTAATATTTCTAATGAGTTACCAAGGCAATTAAAAATCATTTTTATGCATATTTTTCCAGTAAAATTTTATTTTTTTATTTTTTAGGGAAGGGTCTATAGAGTATTCAGG